ATGTTTACTTCTTTTCCCCAGTCCTTTTTTCTTTTTTCTATTTGCTGAAAGCAAAACACCAAATACCGTGTTCACATCTAGTAGTCTAACAGTCTAATAGGAAACAAAAGATTCTGAAAGTTAATTAGAAATAAATTAAAATATTAAGAGTTTGTCAAATTTCTTCAAAAACCTCTAATAAATTGACAGATTATCTTTCTTAGGAGAAAAGCTCTATCTATTCTTGTTTAGAAACACTTTTATTTGGTTTGGGGCTACCTACTCTCACTTTGGAGCTACATTCTCCAGAGTGAAGGGTTTGTGTCCACCTGGTAGGGCAAGGGTCAAGAGGGAGGTTGCAAAAGTAACTTAAAGCAGGTTATCAGAGCACAGAGGGAGTCTATAGGGAGAGGCAATCACATCCCAGTGCAAGAGACCAGGGCCAAAGCTAGTGAGGAGGTTTTCTATGCACAGGTATGCCAGGGTCTAGTGCAGGTTATTGAAGCCCAAGGGAATAGAGGGGGCATCCACATGAAGGATGAGGTAGGCAAGTCCCAGTGCAAAGTACAAGAACCTAAGCAAGTTGAGGAAGGTGTCCACATGACTATCAAGGACCAAAAGTGGTAAAGAAGACATCCTGGGGAGACGGACAGAGATGGGATTATGCAGCAGCAGCCCTGCTTGGCTTATCAGAATCAGAAGGTCTCCATGCAAAGGCTAGGGGACAGCAACTAAATCCAGCAATGTTTGTGTGTGTGGAAACATACCATTGTGTGTGTGTGTAGGACCAGAAATACAATAAAGACTATTTAACATTTAAAATTTTTGAAGTACAATTCATCATATTAACAGATTAAGGGAGAATAATGAAATAGTCACCTAAAATTTCCAAATCTGCGTAACATAAAATTCAATACTAGTTGAATTAACAAACACAAAAACCTCATCAAGCTAGAATTAGGATAGAATTTCCTTAGCCTGAATAAAAATAAAATAAGGGGATGAGATTGTGGCTCAGTGGTAGAGCACTTGCCTAGCATGCATGAGGCACTAGGTTCAATCCCCGGTGCCACAATAAATAAATAAATAAATAAATGTAGTGTGTCCATCTACAACAAAATATATAAATATATATTATATTATATATTTTAACATATATATGTTAAAAAATAAAATAAAACCTCAGAAAATATAATATCAAATCATAAAATTCTGGAACATTTCTTTAAAGTCAGAATTAAGATGAAGATGCCTAACATCATGACCTGTTTTTAACAGTGGCCTAGTATTCCTAGTCAATGTATTAAAGTAAGAAAGTGGTAGCAAAAGTGAAAAGGAAAAAATAAAACTGCCATTATTTGCATGTGATATTATTGCCTACATAAAAGATCTAAAAGAATAAATGAATAATAGCAAGAAGTAAGGAAACAAGTTTTTTTTGGTACATAATCACTATCCAAAAGCTGAGCTATTCCTTAATGCCAGCAATCAACTACAGAAGAATTGAATTTTAAAAAACCAAATTCAAAATAGCATTAAAGTCTTTAGAATATCCATGCACAAATCTAATAAATCTCTTTTTCAGAGAAGAGCATAACACTGGACATACGGACTCAAAATCCCTGACCAATAAAATAGACTAGAAACTAAAAACTATAACCTACTTTACATGGCAGCTTAATACATTATGGATCAATGTGGAAAAGATAAATATATTTTATCTTTAAAACATCAACTAAAATGGCTTAAGTAATAGAATAATTATTGTTATAGTTTGGATAAAGGTGTCCCACAACAAACCCAGGTGCACTTCAACAGATGAATGGATAAAGAAAATGTGGCATGTATACACAATGGAATATTACTCAGCCTTAAAGAATGAAATTATGGCATTTGCTGGTAAATGGATGAAACTAGAGAATACCATGCTAAGTGAAATAAGCCAATCCCAAAGAACCAAAGGCTGAAATGTTTTCTCTGATATGCAGATACTAATTCACAATTGTAGGGGATGGAGAGGGAAGAATAGAGGTACTTTGGATTAGACATAGGGGAGTGAAGGAAGGGATGGGGATGTAGGGGTAGGAACAATAGTAGAATGAATCATACAGTATTATCCTGAGTGCATATATGATTACACAACTGATGTAACTCTAAATCATGTACGACCAGAAGAATGAGAGTTATACTTCATTTATGAATGATGTGTCAAAATACATTCTTTTGACATGTATAACTAAGTAGAACAAATTTTAAAAAGACTGAAAAAAAAAAGAGTCAGTGGCCACTAAGTTACAGTTAGATCAAAGCTAGAAGTTCTGGGGCATATTGTATTGTAGGGTGACTGTAAATAACAGTAACATGCTATCACGTTTTGAAAAGCTATAAGAAAGGATTTTGAAAGTTTACACCATCATGGAATAACAAATGTTTGAAGAGATAGATTATGGTTAATCTGATATGAACATTACACATTTATACATGTATCAAAACAAAACATCACAAAATTTAATTTTTTAAAAACTTTACTCAAATGAGAAAAAAGTCAATTATATTTGTTGTCAAATATGTTTATATGAGTAAAACTTTCAAAATTAAAAAAAAAAAAAGCTTACCAAAAGCTCTGCTGGAAGCAAGAGGTGTAGTGATTAGATTATGAGAGCTGTAACCTATCAGTAGATTCATCCATTTGATGGGGATCATTTTAAAGAACTGGGTGGTAACTGTGGGCTGGTGGGGCGTGCCTAGAGGAAGTGATCACTGAGGTATTCTCTTGGAGGTTATGTCTTGATCCTGTCTCCTTCTCTGTTTCCTGGCTGCCAGGATTGGAGCAGCTTTCCTCCCCCACCCCTTCCACCATAATCTTCTGCCTCATCTCAGGTCCAAGGAGGTGGCCAACCATGGACTAAAACCTCTGGAACCATGAGCCCAAATTAAACTTTTCCTCTTCTACATTGTCCTTGTCAGATATTTTTGTCATAGCAACCAAACACAATTATCATGTCACAGAGCAAGATATTTTGAAGTATTCTCAAAGTCATCACTTAGGACCCAGACCATTCTGTCTTCCTCAGGATGCCAGTGAGCTTCCCTTCTTATCACAAAGTGTGTAGAGTGTCACAAACATACATTAAGAGGCAGAAAAAGTGACTTGCTTCTATACTGTATATCTTTTCTATCAAAACAAAAGAAAACCCTCCCTAGAAACACCTCCAGTAAACTTCACTTTGCCTCGTTGTGCCTAGAACTGCTATATCAATCACCAAGTATGGAAATAGGAAGAGCAAGGTAATCTGAGATCAAACAGGATTTGCGTGAACCATATGGAAAACAGAAATTGAAACAAAATTGGTATTCTGCCAACATGAGAAAGAGAAAAATGACTATTAGAGAAGTAATCTACAATATAATAGAATATTCCATAAATAGTATAGGGAGATTGGGCTATCTATGTGGAAGACAAAAAAATAGATACTAATTATATCATAAATGTAAATAAATTCCAGATGGATTAAAAATTCGAATGTCAAGAATAGAAGTTAATTTACAGTGGAAAATACCAAACAATATATTTAGAAATTAGGGGTAGAAAAGGATTAATAATATAAAACATAAACACAAACTATAAAGAGTAATATTTAACATATTACTTATATGTTAAAATTTAAACTTTTATATAATAAAACATATCAAAATTAAAGTTGAAAGACAATCTGAGAGAGTATTTACATGATATAACTTTAAAAAGTCTAACATATAAAATGTCAGACCAGATTTTCGTGACACAACAGATAAAAAATAGGCAAAATACAAGAATGAATGATTCAGAGTAGAGAAAATTAAATAGCCAAAAATAAAAGATAAGATGATCAGCCTCATCGGTAGTCTAAGAATTGCAAATCTATACAAAGAAACAGTGATGAACAACTATAAAAATGGTTTAGTTTTATTCATATCATTTTTATTTATATACATGAATATGTGCAGGCATGCACACACACACGCACACATACACAAAAGCACCAGCTGAACAGCTTAACTAAACATCAATATGGATTAGATAAATAAATTGTATATTTGTGGTATAGATTAAATGAACAAACTAGAACCTTAAATAGAGCATATTGGGTTATCTTAAAAATAAAATATTCAGAGGAAAAAGCAAGTAGTTTAGGAATATTTATAGTATTATGTCACTTAGGTAAAAATTAAAACCTATAACACAATATTCTGTATTCTTTATGAAAAGTAAATACTTACAAAAATACCTCTGGAGAAAGTAAATGGAGAATCAAATCAGAGAAGGGTTCAATAACAAGGATGCCTCAACTTTATCTCTAGTTGTATTTCTTTAGTGAAACAAAGTTAAAAGATAAATATTTTTAAATGGTAAATTACACTGAGACTATATAGAGAGTCCATAGACGTTTGTCCTTTCACCTAAGTTTATATTTTAAAGTACTTTATACTTTAACAATATTTTATAACTTAACAATATTTTATAATTTTTAAAGCACAGTATAATTTATACTTTATAACATAAAGAATGTCTTTTTAAAAAAGTTTCCCTCCATGTACAAATTTCTGCATAAACACTACAAATGGAGTTCATCTCTTTTCGTCTTTTGCTAAACATCATTAAGGCGCATGCTCTATGTTGTTTAAAGATTAGAGATTAAGTAGTATCAGAAAAAAATGTAAATAGCAGTGCTATTTTAAAGGACAAATTGGAAGGATTGAATAAAGATGCCATGAAGATCAAGAAAGGTCCAAATGGCACAAAATTGAAAGGAGGTTTCCAAAAGTGAGTCAAACATTCAAAAAATATTCCCAGTATTGAGAAGACAAAGATGTCACTGTCGAAAAAATTCTAGAAACAGGTCTGGCAAAAGTTTCTATCAAATTTTAATTTGGAGGTGCTTACTGAATGTGATGCAGCACACATGTCAACAATACATTACTGAAACTCTAGTAAACATCAAAGTTTTCCCTGTAAGTCAAAAGCTCCTATAGCAACATACCTGGAGAAGGAGCCTTTCAAAAGCTAGAAAGTTGTCCCACTTGGCTGTCTGCGGGTGTTTCAAAGTTTGAACTGTGGCCAGCCCAAGCTGCAGGAGTCCACAATGATTCCTTAGAGCTTTGAGATTGTTCTTGAAGAGCTGAATATAGGATGTAAGCTGTCCTGGCGAGACTCTCCCTGGAGAAACATAATAATTAATCAGCATACCCTCTTCTGGGAGTAGGAAAAATAATGATGCCATGAAAAACACCATTGTCTTATATTTGCACAGAACTTTAGAACTGACTGCACGCTTTCCTAAGCTGCTGTAATCTTCCCAACAGGAACAACAGCAAAGATGTTACCTGCATTTTTCAAGTAAGAAAACAGATGTTAAAGGACCAAACCAAGGTCATATGGCCAGTAGAATACATTTTAAAATCCTGTGATAAACTGTAAACAATTTTCAAATAAATATCAGTTTTATGTGACTATAGCTAGAACTTCAGATTACCACTCCATGATATATGATATAGGAATCCAAAAGGTCAGATTCCTAATTATAGGTATAACATAAAATAAGAGAAGAAATATGTTATGACTATAGCTTAAATTTTATCATTGATATCAGTGGGTTCATAAACACTTGTGAGGATAAAAACTGTTACATGGAACAAAAATGTATGGAGAAATTGGGTGGCAAAAACACTAGACAATGAAATATCAGAAGAAAGGGTTTGGTATGACATGTAGCACATTTGCTATACTGGTCACCCAGATATAGAAAAGGTTAGAGATTTTACAAGATACACATAGACACACATGCACACAACAATTTGTTAATTCATTCCCCCAGACCCCCTAAGTCCAATTTCTTCCCATAGCAGTCTTTGACTCACTCACTGCCACTCTCCAATCTTAAACTTCATCCCTGCCATTCACTAGTGCTTTGCATGAAGTCGCTGGACACCAGATTTCCATCATCAGGCATAAAGAAAGCAATGGGGTCAACATAGCTGGAACTCAAGTAAATCATTCCTATACATTTTACCCACCTCCTCCTTGTGGGCTGTTCTTTGATACTGAAATTCAAGTATGTTTAGTTGTTATTTCATACACATGCTAGGCAAGCTCCCTACCACCAGCCATAGCCCCAGCCCCACCATATGTACATTTTAAAGGTAAGAGTGTCTTCAGTTAAAAAACATAGGCAAACTTTTTATTGTTAGCTTTTCCTGGCTAAGAGTCAGACTCAGTCACTCAGATTTATATAATGCTACCTTCCCACATAAGGCATGTGATCTAAAGAAACAAAGTGGGTTATTTCATAACAGGAAATGCCAACAGAGCACAACACTGTGAACTCTGCAATTATTCACCATTTCTGCTCTATTTTGTTCCCCTTTGCACAGTAAATCCTTTTCTCACAAACACTTCATTAGATATGTCCTAATAATTTATAACATGCTAACTGAAATTCAATAAAAAAGTATTTCACAAAAATGCCTTAAAATATAGGCTTGTGACATGACACTTTCAAAATTTTAATTTAATCACAAAAAATGTAATTCCAAAAAATGGAAATCAATGAATTGGCTACCAAAAATGTTGTAGTAAGATTAATGACTTGAATAAAGATTCTTAGTTCACATCAACTAAAACAATGAGCAACTAGAACCAGGTGTTGAAAAGTAAAGTGCAGAACATTTATCCATACCTTACTTTTAAAATAGGAAAAAAAACAACTTGTCAGGCAGATTTATATGGTGGTTTTAAAATGTCAACCCAGAAGGCTTTGCAACACATTTTTAAAAGCTATAAAACAAGGATTATTTTATATCAAAATTGCATAAAGTATAGTAACTCTTTGAAAAGTGACAATTTCACATTTGAAAAGTGGTTTTCAAGCAAGAAATGCTATTGGGGTTTATTGTTCTTCTTTTTTAATTTTAAGGAAAGAAATAAACTTCTGATTTCAATTTAGTTAAGAGAAAAATACAAAGCTTATCACCAATTCTATACATTTTTTAAAAACTCTTACTGAAATATAATTATCTTTTAGGGGAAAGGATTCAGATCTGGAAAATAAAAGAATTTAGTATTGTATTTTAATATTCTCTAAAACCCTTTCAATATTGAATTCAGTTAAATTCAAATGAATTATGGAGATTATTCTTCCCATTACTGCATACACAATAAATTATAGTTTGTTCAACCTGTTTTGTGACTTAGTAAAATTAAGTAAATTACCTACATATATTTAATTCTCTATTGGAATTCTTAAAATAAAGAGTATTTTCTTAGTGCCATGTATGATTTAATCCCATAACTGTTGTGGTGGGAACAAATAATAACCAACAAAAATTTTGTTTAAAAATAGTACATTTAGCTATTTTTTAAAAATCTCTTGATATAACATATAACCATACTGTCATTGCACATTTTTCATTCATCATATTCCCACAAACATGAATGAAAAACCCAATGTGTACAGACTTTATATTTTTAAGACTCACATCCCCAGAAATCAAATATTGGCATTTCATTTTTCTCCTTTCTCAATCATTTTCTAATATGATAAAAACAAAGCATATGGGAATATTTAAATATAATATACTCTTCTAAGACCCTGTTCATTATTTCATACACAATTGGCAAAACAGAATAATATTAACATTTCACAAAAGTCACACCTGTTGATTTGTGATTTTTTTCCTCATTATTTTAATATTTGGTATCACCAAATAACAGCAACTGAACACAAAGTAAATGAGCACAGCTGGATTCTGCAAGCCACAGAAGGAACTAAGTATTGCATGAAGTGCCCATTCATTCCCAGCTCTTCCTCTTGGCTCTGCTGGCCACATGCCCTATCTTAAAATGTTTCCTGTTGGATTTGCCTGATCTTCAGTTCATTTTGCTTTTGCTTCCATAACTAAACAACTTCAACTCCTCTCATACTACCTTGCAATGAGCTATCTTCAACTCTTTCATCCACATCAAGTCCTACATTTGCTCTAACATTTACATATAGAAATTGACCATGTCTTTCTAAATGTACTAGTATTTTTATCAAGATTTTTGTTGTTTGGTTTGTGCTCTGATTACAAGGTTGAATAGATTTTTTAACAGGCTACTGCCAATTTATTTATTTATATATATATATATATATATATATATATATATATATATATATACACACACATACACACACACACACATACATACACACATCTCAATCATGAGCCTTGACACCTAGCACGTGATTTTGCAAAACAAAAATTTTCCCTTCCAAAGCAGGCAATTCTGCTAAAATTATTCACTGCACCATTCAATAAATTTTGAGTGTTAATTCAACAGTTAACAGAAAACAGCCTGAATTCCGTATATGGTTTAGGAGTTTTGTTAATAATGTACAAAAGGCTCAAATGGCTACCCTGAGCACATGTGTTTACATCTATTTCTCAGGAGATCTCACCAGAATTACCCACCAGAATGATAGAAAGCTGTAAAAAGGGGTAGGAAGATACCAACAAAAAGATCATCACACAGCCCGAAAGCAGACAAGAGTTCAACACCTTCTTCCCCCACTTATTGGTTATCTTTAAAACTTACATTACATGCCAAAGCTTTCTTTTTTGCTGTCAACCACTGAAGGTATCATATGGCTGTTCAAGTTCTAAGAAGAGGACATTAAGTCCCTGATCCTTCCCTTTATTTCTTTTTCCCCCTTTCATCTTTTAAATCATCTTTTATGTTTTTTATGTTTATCTGCCCAAAATTGGTAGCACTACTTTTATTCCATAACCATGATTCAGTATTATCTGTTTTTGCTATATTTGATTCTAAAAGTTCAAACTCAATCTATACTATTTACATCATTGTTAAGTATGTAACTATTCACAATTTACTTATTCACAAAGAATATTTTATTTCTTTTTAGAATGCTCAATCATGTTTTTTGTTCTTTAGTATTTTTATTATCTTCTTGAACAAGCTTTAAACTATTCTAACCTTGAATACACTGTCCTATCTTTGTAGTTGATGCTTTTCCCCATTCCCAGAATACTCCACTGTGGCAGTTTGTTCTCTAGGCCTATCTACACAGCCATCAGCCAGAATTCCTTCCATTGCTCGCTTCAGTTGGATCTATATTTTCTTTAAGTCCCCAATTTTTCTTTCTTAATGAACTATATTGTTTTGGTGAATGTCCTTAAGCTGAATGGAAAGCAAAGTATTTTTATGTCAGAAAATTATTTTTTCCTGCCTTCACAGTTAAAGACAATGTATCTGAATCTAGGATTCTTGGATTGAAAATAATTCATTGTTTCATTGTCTTCTGATATTGAAGGTTGCCAAAGAGAAATGTGTGCTTTTCTCAGTCTTGTTCATCTGCATATGAGCTTCTCTTGGGGTCCTTAAGATTTTCTTACTCTTTGGTATCTGGGGAATCACAGAATCACAGTGTTTAATTTAGAGGGTTTTAAAAAAAATCTTCTCTACTTGCTTGGATAAGACTATTTAATTTGAAATTTTTTAACACTAGGAAAGATCACATTTTTTCTTTGCTAATTTCCTGTCCTCTACTTCCTCTCTCTGAAACTTTTAATAGTTTGGGGACCCCTGAATTCATTCTGTGTATCTTTAATCTTCTTTATTTTCCCTCATCTTTTAAAAGTCATCTTCTTTTTTTCTTACATTTTAGATTTTTCAGAACTTATCTTCAAACTTTTGTTGAATATTTTATTTCCACAATGATTTCTTTAATTTCTAAAAGCTCTTTTTAAAAATAGCTTTGCAGAGATATAACTCATATACCATCAAATTCACCCTAAAAACGCACAATTAAGTGGGTTTTGGTATATTCACTGAATTATACAAATGCTATGTAATTTCAGAAAAATTTTATTACCTCAAAATAATTCCCCATGCCCAAATGAAAAAGTACCATTCATATTAGAATATAACTGGAACAGGACATCCATCTGGGAGATATACTGTATTTAGTTATACCAAGAAACAGAGAAGCAATAGAAATGAGAAAAAATCAAGTAGTAATAATTGAACTCTTTTTTATATATAGTGAAACAATTATTATGCATTTTAATCTAATGAAATATAATTTCCTGAAAGGCAAAAGAGGAATGTAAGAGTACTAATTGATAAAGCAAAAATCATCATTATCATCATCATCATCA